TCATGCAAAACAATGGCCTGGAAACGGCCCAGCTTTGGGGAAACAGTATCATGGAAAGAAAGAACAGTATCGGACCCAATACCCTTAAAAGACTGATGAGAACACTGCAGAATTGCAGGCGAAACGAAAGTTGCACAGCTATTGTCTAAGCGACGCAAGCCCGAGGAGAACACTGTACATGTAACCAGCACATTTACGAATCAAGATTGGCAGAAAGTTGTACGGCATCTGTCTTCGATTTTGTCTATTGATGAATATGACGCACAAAGTGAAATTGAACTTGCGTTCATGAAAATCGGAAAGGGTACTGCTTTTTCGTCAAACTGAAAAAATGGCCGCGTCACTCTTGTAACTACGCATGCGTACTCCCCATACTCGCATACATTTGATGTTTTTAGTCGCAGTATCTGCTCAAATAACATCCATCATGATATAATAAATCATTATATACTAAAATTCGCAAATTTGCAGACCTTCCAATGAAATATTACCAGTTTTTTTTTGCGACAGAATACGTTATTGCAATATGCAAATTAGGCTACTCACCCTAGTCAAATATTTGTTAAGAAACTTTAAAGACTCTAAGTTATAAATTAATTAATGCAATAATTGACTAATTAATATGCATGGAATTGCACCAAAATGTAATCAGCGCATCTGCTCATCATATATTAGCTGTGTGCCAAATTTTATTTGAATTGAAATTGTAGATCTTGAGTTATCAGTGGAACAAATTTTAGTCACAGAGTCACAGACACCGGTACCACATAAGCTCCGTTTCACGGAAGCTAAAAATCAAAATAGTGAAATAAATAGTTTTATAGTACATTCACTGTGAATACCATTATATAGAGCACAAAAACAAACCTAACCTATTATTGTGATATTTGGACAACATGATAAGTATGTGAACTGGAGTCACTCACGTAAAGTCAACAATATGTCAGCTGTTCAATTTTCTATTAATTAAATTATTAATAAATTCACAAATTCCTGGGAAATCTTATCTTCATCTCCGATCAGACTAATACTATATAGGCTCTTAGCATTTTAGATGGAAATATTCTTTTTACGAAGTCCATCGACAAGATACAGACACTCCGACCCGACGATGAACGATATGAAATCATCATTGAAAAATAAAAATATAACTGTACATCGAACTTGGTTCGGTTCACGTCGCCACACCCACTTTTAACAGTTCAGCGATAAGTACTTACGTTCACAAGTCCAAAATAGTGTTCATTTGGCGGGAACTGATCGGAACCAATCTCCTTTTCAAGCGCAGATGCATTGGGTCCCTGGAAAGATAAGCACGAACGCATGACATCCATGTCACCATATGCAAAGTAGTTGCGCGATATATTGTTTATGAACCACGCTCTACAAAATCTGCATTCATTTCCTATAGATAAATGCAACAAATGCAAAAAATACACAAATGGAAACACGGTTGAAAACGTGAACTTGCGGCAAAGATCGGTACTGCCCCATGCACTACTGCAACGATTTCCTTGAAGCGTTATCCACCCATGTATTGCATGGCAATGCGATAAAGCAGCAGCGACTTACCATGTTTTATTATCGTTCACAGAGAGTGTGAAGCTGTTTTTGACATACATCAACATTGCCGATCAGCCGCCATGTTAGACTCGTTCGCATAGCATGGTGGGTAATTGATTTCTACACGGGCTATTAAATCTAAAATTTACAATGTAATGACGAAAAGTCACATAAAATTGTTCAGTATTGTTCTTATAGATTGATATAATAAAAAATGAGTGAGCGACTTGAATGTTACTGCTAACAATATTAAAAAGCAATAGTCCTCGTTTTACGGCAAGTCACGTGACTCGTCCTCTTTTCTCGTGGTCGGCCATCTTGAAAGGTGAATGTTTCTTTCGTCATTTTTAAAGTTATTGTTTTAAGTGAAGTAATACCCTCTGATGTATGAACATGACTTATTTTGTTCCATGTAGCCTGTTTTATCAGTCGTTAGAATAAATTGCCATACGTTTGTTTAGAACCACATGAAAAACGGCAGAGTTGGCGTATGGCATCGGTCCGCCTTTGCCGAGTGAATGGTTGGAAACGGCGTGTACGGCAACGTGGTTGGGCATCAACTCAACAGCCTCCAATATTTGCTTACATTTTTCTCTCATTCAACAACTACGTTATATTGACTAGGTTTAGAAAGTGTCTTAATATTAGCGGAAATGTGGCGAGAGGAATAAATCATAAGACCTAACCCTATAATAACCACATGTCACCACATGTGCCCTCTCTCCAATGTATGTGATGTGAAAACAGTTTTTAAACTGTTTTAATTTGGCACTGGACTGTCAGTTTAGATGATATCAGCAATTTCAATCTGACTGCGTTACTTTGCTGTAGATTAGATGCTGTCTGTAATCACGAGACTTTGACAACTACAAATAATACTGACTTGGTCTTGAGGGATGTGGGCGTTCTTACACAAGAGTCAGTCTGCACGTGCAAATTCCCATGATAATGTACTGAAGTTGTGGAAACTGCCAATCAGAATTCTGTGCGATCTACATAGCAATTCACCAGAATATTCTTGAGTGCACTGGGAAGGGCACTCTGAATGGCTAGATTCCAGGCTATACTTTGCTCTGGCTTTTTGGGTCATTTGTTGTGAATTGCCTGCAGTCAACTCATTATTCTGTTTCCTTCTTAGAAAATCCACATTCAAAATGGTGAAGACCAACACTCATGGATACCGTCGGGGTACCCGGTACATGTTCTCTAAGGACTTCAGAAAGAAGGGCCCAACACATCTTTCTACGTATATGAAAATATTCAAACGTGGTGATATTGTTGATATCAAGGTAAGTTCAGTTTATTCTCATCTTACAGATTTGATTAATTTGAGTATTTTAGGCTTTTTGCCTAACTTGCTAAATTGAATAACTAAGTTGTAATTATGGCATATTATCTTTTACCAGTAGTCTTGAGCGGGTGTGTATTGATTAAAAAAAAAAATAGCAAAAATGTATTGCATTTCCATGCACTTAAAAGTAAAAGGCAACACTGTACTCATATTTTTAGTTTGTATTCAAGTATCTTTGTACTCAAAAATATATAGTTGTGAGAGAAATTCTAGATTGCTTTTTTAATGACGCATGAATTGTAATTTTTATGTCAATGTGCATAGATTTATGTGAAATACAAGAATGACATGAAAGGGTCTAATATTTTGTCGACTGTGCCCTTATTTCACAACATAGAGGACTCTATTCATCAATGTATTTGGTGTTATTCGTCACCTACTGACTTCACACTTCTAGGGTTTTCATACATATTGGGGTATACTAGGAAGGTCGCATAAGATGTGCATAGTTGAGACTAAGTATCTGGTCATTACTATGTGTTAGTCTCTGTTCCAGGCCCTTAAGCATGGTGGTTGCCCATTTAAAAAACAAACATGTTTGAATTTTTTAGAAAACATAAGTGGTTACTGATGTGTTAATCTGTTATGTTGTAACAATCAGGTTTGGGCATTTAGCTGGGGGAGATCAGATCAAGAACACAACATAAATGATCACCACTAAACTTTGTTAATTTCTTCAGAATCAGAGAAAGTTTGAATTCTTGCTACATGGCACATGTGGGTATTTTTCATCTAAATCTTTATATTGTATTGTGACAGGGTGATGGTTCCGTTCAAAAAGGTATGCCACACAAAGTGTACCACGGCAAAACTGGCAAGGTGTATAATGTCACTCAACATGCTGTTGGTATAATTGCCAACAAGCAAGTAAGGTATGTGAAACCTTCCATCAATAAATTAATAACAACCCAAAATAATTGTGTGTCCGGAAGATGTCTTTATATTTTTTGAGTTGAATATCTTATAACATCTATTTTGCTTAGAAACTCCTGACCAATCAGCACTTCACAATCACTTACAAGGAATCAATCTACTCCTAGAAGTAGATAATCCCATGCACTGATTGGTCGTGTGCTTTTATGTTTACTCGGTGTTTACTTATCAGTATATATTGGAGTGTAACAAAAAACAAATAAGCTGGCGGGCACGAACAGGATTTATTTATTAGCCAAAGATATTCAATATATGTCCCATTACAGCAAGTCTTGGAGGTATTGAGGTAGTAAGTTAGCAAACTAATTCGTCAACTTTCTTGGTTTCGACTGAAAAAGCACATGAGCCAGGGTTCTCCACGAGGGGTTTTTACAGGGCGCCGCGCCCTGTTATCTGAAATTGACGCCCTGTTTAAATTGTCAGCGCCCTGTTATATTTCCTGTGCGCCCTGCATGGTCCCATACAAAGAATTGTTTACAAAACAGGCCAACACTCATTGTCTTCCGAAGATGATTCATCGTGCTCAGGGTAACTGGTTCATTGTTTTAAGGTGCAACTGTGAAAATTCCGGTTTGTTATCGTAGCAGGTCACCGCGAGGTGATAACACCACCAAACAAAAAGTTACAAGTTTTTTCAACACGATTAAAAATGAACATGTGGCCCAGAAAAGTGCATTACCGTACCCATATTTTTACTGCTAGGGTGAC